TATTTAATGCAGAAGGCTTCTTTGAGAAACAGAAACCCAAATTATAGTATTTGCTCAGAGAAATTCAGCAAAGAAAATTCATCTTTCTCAGAAGAAACAACGTTAAAGAAAAATTAGTGGCTGTATAACGTATCTCTGCTTCTGTCAGAGTTCTTAAGTGGAAGATACTGTGATATATTAAACTGGTAGCTTATTCCCTTTGACTATACTGTATCGACCTAACTCATGAGGAAAGCACAAGAACATTAAAGAACTGCTTTTGCACCTGTTATATCACACAGCAGAAGCTGTTGCTGTTCAAAAATCTTCACCAAATGTCCCTATGCAGCATGGGAAAAGCTGAAGTCATTAAATTGCATATCATACAACAGAATCATTTTTGCATTTAATTACTAGATTTCTAAAGCAATTACTAAATTTGGACCAAGTGCTAGCCTAGAGGGAAGCCAAGTTTTTCACCTGTTTTGAGAAATTAGCCTCCATTGTGTGCAGTGAGAGTCCTGACTGACCAGCATGCAGGATGCCACACAGGATGTCTGAGCACAGACGGGCACAGTGTGTGTAGGAAGACCTGCCCTGATGGAGCAGGTACAGGGGGTGGCTTTCCCTGCTCAGCAGGCTGTGGGAAGGACTGGGAAGGACAAGTTAGACTTTCTGCAGCAGGTAGAAACAGCCAGCATTCCTTTTTAATTGTGCATAACTATTTGTTCTTTACAGAGTCTATGTTCTTGAGTTTTTCTCTTATTTTTCCTATGTTTTCCCATGATAACTTGACACAGAGTGAATATAAAATTTGTTTTTAACTCCAAAGAGACAGTTAGTAAATGACAGAAATAATGAAACACTGAAAGTTTGGAAAAAGACAAACAGCAGTCGTAGCAAAAGTGTATTAAAGAAATTGGCTCATCTAATCTAAAGTACTAAAATGACCAAGTTTCAGGGCTGAATTATTCACAGAAGTAATACCATGACTTCACTCAGGAAGCATTACTCAGTGGGATTATAGCCGGAACATTTGAACTTTAAAGATTCATCTTCAGAAACATCATTCTTGGAGTACAAAATATCCTGTACCTCCCAGTCCTAAAATAGGGTTCTCTGTTAGTAACTCACATTTCTGCATATCCTAAAGTTCAATTTGCTTGTGAGTAATTTTGCTCTTCAAGAACCATGTAAAATGTTGATTTTATGTCACTAAGGGTTAAGAGTCCGAGGAATTAAGCTTTCATTTAAGAGTGGGATTTCCCTACATTCTCTGTCTCCAATATTAAAATACTTCAGGTTTTTTCCTATGGCAGAAAAGTCCTTGCAGTTACTTATGGCCTCCCTGTAAGATGTGATAACCTACATCCAGAGATGAGAGATAAGGTGGTCTCCTTGACCAGTTGACTGTTCAGTGTGGTGAGGAAAAGTTGTTTTTGTTTATTTATTTACAAAAAAGTACCCCAAAAATTGACACTAATTCAAGCGTGTAAATCTGCATAACATGAAAAGCTTTGGGGAGCTTTTTCCCTTGGTGCTTCAGACATGCTATGCAAACTTCTTGCCTGGTGAGATAAACTCATGGATTGACTAAAATGCAAACTCTACCTAGCAGGAATTGCTGTAAAGCACTGTCTTAGCCCAGAGTGCATTAGAGTAAACATCATGTTCATAGTATCCTGTCTTTCTTTCTATTACACAAGAAATCAAACTGACCAAGAGTGTCCTTAATTCCACTCATAAATACTGTGTCAAAAGCTGACAGTACTCAAGCTTTTATTTTTCTTTAAAACTGATGTAGGGGTGGTGGTCTTGAATAAATATTTTCATCTGGAAAAACATGTGAAGTAATAGTCATTATACTAAAAGTTTAACCTCATTTAAACCTTTTTTTTTTTTTCTTGAATGTCTGCCATTCTTATGTGACTGTGAAAATGTAGTGTTTCCTTGGATGATCACTGCCCACATGGAAATATTTCATGGGAATTAGGTTAAAGTAACTTGTTCTTATAAAAGAAAGAATCAAGAAACTGGAACTATGGTTTTCTTTGCATTCCTCTCAAAAATACTGTTGCTGCCACTAGTGGTGTGTTTTTTGTTTTTTTTTTTGCTGGACAGCCAATGTAACAATTACGAGTAATTGGAAAGGTTTCCTGTATTTGTGAGAAAACTGTATTCTAATGTTAGTAGCTCAGACCACTAATCTAAGCCTGTCTCGTTGTGTACCTGCATGAAAATGTGTAGTCACCACTCCTATTATCACCTCACTGCTTCCAAGTGTAGCCTTGACAGATCACAGCCACAAATATTGCTTAAGGTGGAATTAATTTAGTTATGTAGAACTCCCTATTAAGCTCCCAAAAAGCTCAGCTTAAATAGAGACTATCAACTGAGTTGAAATGTTTTTGCAATATGCACTGATGTGAGACCAACAAACCTATTTTGCTTAGGTGCCTTAAGTAGACTTGGATCTTTAGTTTTAGCTATGCTGTTACATTTCCCTGAAAGCTTACTTATCCATAAAAACATGAAGTAGCAGGGGAAACATATTTTCTTGTGACCTAAAGGCATTTGGCTGTTGGTATTTATGTTTTTCAGTTTAGAGAATAATGTATGGGAAACATACATGCCTTGGGTCTGAATGATCAACACTTTCACTGCAGTGTGCTTTCTCACTTGTGTAAAGGTACAAGCTGTGCACTAAACATTAAATTCAGACTCACGTTCTTCTTCCAGATGCACACGTGCAACTTCTATAGCAGTCAGCAAAAGGTGCATACACAAATTAAATTCTAAAATAATATGGCATTGCATCCATTTGCCTTGGATGAGAATTTTAGTTTAGAGAATTGTCAGTATACTGTAATTCAGTCCTTTACTCCTTTAGCATATTTATATTATGAAAATAAGGAGACCTTTTTCATGCACATGGTATTAAAAAAAGATTTAGTAGGAAGCATGAAGTGGTATTGTCTGGGAAAACATGTGAATGCTATGCACATACATCTCCTGAGTAAGCTGTTTATTGTTTCAGTTATTGTACTCCTGAACAATTTCTGTTGGCAACAGGGTATTGGCCATACATTCACAGAGTTTTGGGCAGAATCCATTCTGGATGCTAGTTTGCATCCTGATTTTTCTCTAATGGTTGTTTCAAAATGAGAGGTTTTTTTACATGAGATAGTTTAGTACTTTATAAAAAGAATCATGGTTGAAAATACATGAAATTGCAGTAGCTATGCCACACTGAACACATCAGATAAAACAGAGCTCAAATTTACACAAAAACTGTGGATATTAGCTAATTAAAAATACTCCCAGTTTATATGTGTATTTTGTATTATGGAACAGTTATAAATCCATGATGTTGATTGTAATTTCAACTTTCACCACCAGCAGAGGGAGCACCAGTGATAGAGCTGCACAAACGTGGGGGTTTCGAACACTCAATAAGCCAAATTCTCCCTGCAAACACCCTGACAAAATTTCTAGTGCTGTCAGCAGGAATCGATGTCTGAGGTTAGAAATGATCCTTGAATATGTTTAAATAGTCCTATTTTCTTCTAAATAAACTCATGTCTACCCCCCAATTAAATCAGTAGCATCACATCTACAATTGTGAAAAATACATGGCACACAAGTGGTATTTGGAATATAATCAGAGACCTGACTACACAGGCCATGGCCATCACATTCTGTAAGCTGAAAGCTGCAAGGATGTTTAGCAAACTCTGTTTCTGATTTTGCAACTTAAACCACAGTTCTGTGGGAAGACATATTTCAACTATGAAAACTCTAGTTACTCAAACCCTAAGATTTTGAAAGATGTTGGAATGTATTTTCAAGTCACCAATTGTTACAGCTGAGTGTCAGACAATGTTTAAAAGTGTCAGAATTATTTAATCAGTCCTTAATAGACGTTTTAGCATTTTCGTTCAACCAGTCTAGCAGAAAAATGGAAATTCACGGCTGTTAAAAACACACATAAAGAAGATTGGATGTAAAGCAGTGTAGCTCATCTCCAAAGCTCTAGATTTTAGCACTTTCTCCCAGGGAAAGGAGAAGAGACAACCTCTGTTAAACAACTCCTAACTGAGTCCTCATATGCCAGCGAATACATTAGTTGGCTCTTTGACATTTTACCCATTTCAATAATCATCTTCACCAAATATGAACACCTACATTGTTGCCATTTCATATGAAGTAATATAAAGTTGCACAAAAAAACCTCTATATATCAGCTTGGATTTAAGTTCATTCTCCCATATTTTCTCACAGCACAAAAGTATTTAATAGCAAGGAATTTGAGAGATAAACCAATAACCCAGACAACATGACCCTAATAAAGACGTTGTAGACTAGATGACAAGGCTGTGTACATGAATTCCGTTTTCCTTCCATCCTATCAGCTCTTCTAATGGAAGATGCTCTCACTACAAACCTGACGTGCTTATAAACACAGCCAAAACAAAGCCAGCAGCTCAGTTCCTGCCCAGGATCATGTCATCTCATGATCAGTTCAGCTCATCCCAAAACCAGCCATCTAAAACTGAAAGCCTATGATCATCAGCCTTTTATTACATTATTTCTAATGAATGTAAAGCAACAATAACATTGGGGAAAATGGTAGTTATGGAAAATTTATATTACAGGCAGAGAAAAGATTAAGGGGTTTTGCTGGTGGTCTTGCTTGAAAAGAAGTAAGGGATCTCAGAGTTGCTGTGGGTTTTCCATCACTGTGGTATCACACATCTGGCTGTTGCAGACAGTGCCTAAGGAAGCTACGTCAAATTACTTTCAGTCTACCTAACCTGCTAAGGATCCAGTCAGAATGCCTGGCATGTGAGAAGTGGACACATGGCATCTGAAGTGTTCACAGTGTTGTACAAGTAAATTATACTTAGTCACCAAAATCAATTTCAGTAATCCACTCTCAGTTTCCTTACATGTCATTGTCACTCCTGTGGTCTTTTCTAAGCTATTTGTTTCAAGAATACGACAAAATTAAATCTTCTTACCTTGGGTGGCTTTACAATAATGACAAATGACTCTTTGGAATCCAGATCAGTAAAGTCCTCCCAATTACTCATTTGGTTGAGGGCTGGGCATTGACCAAAGATTTTTAGTACCTGCAAAGAAGGAACATTCATATCTTTCCTGACCAAAAGTTTCTCTGATAAAGATCAATGTTACTGTGTCCAAATAGCTTATTCAGTGGGCTATGCTGCCATATGAGTTAAACAAAAGTCACAAGGCTTTATTTTGTTAAAGAAATATTATTTTAGCCAGCTTTGAAGAAAGGGCAGAGGATGTATTACAAGTGTAACTCTATCATGTCTTTTGTTTATCACCCTTACAATACCTTCCAGTACTTAGGCTAATTAATTACGTGTTCACACATTTTCAAAAAGAAATTCCTGAAAATAGCAATGCTGTTCGGTTTGCAGCATATGATATTATTAATTCATGTGCATTCATATTAAGAATTTATATTAAAAATCACTGTCATTGATTTTTGCCATTGGATTCCTTGAAAGGAAATTTGGAGCACACTTTCACTGCATATTTAACATAGTCCATTTTTCCATTTTGTTATATGTGATTCCTTTTGAATTTTTTAATAATTTTTATAATTTGCTAGACTTGTCTACGATGTAGGAAAAGAACCAGCAATTGCAGAATTCACAAGGCTGAGTAAAACTATTAATAGTGATACTAATCATAATTCAGTTACTTAAGTTCTGAGTATCTCTCTTTCACATAGTTCTAGTCACCGGATGTTAATGAATTACATATTTGCTAATGTAGCTGAAATGGGTCTGAGTTGTTGGATCCATAAGCTATTTTTCTCTGCATTCTGCAAAGGTGACTATATGTCTTTAAAAAATTATTGCTCTACAATGTTGCTTTCTGATTACTGGATGTGTCACTACTTAAATCAGAAACATTTTTTGCCACTAGTACTGAAGAGTTACAGTTTCCATGGGCTTTCAGTGCACACATATTCATCAGCAATATGATTGTTTACTTTCCTATACCTTAATTTGCCCAAGTGTAGGGAAATCTGCTCCAATGTTTTCATTGAAAATGACAAATATGCAATGATACTGTAGGCTGTCTGTTTTTGGTTGTGATCCATAAGTGTATGTGCCATTTAACAACCAGTAAAATATGACAGGCATATACAATTCTGTCTGAGCAGGAAAGGAAATTTTATTGCTCAGGTTTCAGTCACACATGCCTTACATAAAGTTGTACAGTCAGATCAGTATTTTATTGCTACTTACCATATGTGTTACACCCCTTAGGCATGAAAGAGCAACTTGGAAAGCATTAACCTTATCTGCAGAAAAAGAAATGACTTCAAATAAGTTTATAGTCAATACAGTTTCTCTTTAGGAATAAAATAAGAAAAACTGGAAACAAATCAACATCTCCTAGACCTCATTCAGAGATGAAAGGAAGCAGTCTTACAATCTTTGTTTTATCAGCTTCTCTCTTAAACACCATATCTCCTCTTACACACCAAAATACTTCATGATGCATTACCACAGATCACTGAAGTCATTAAGTAAACTGCTATCTGCCATCTCCATACCCACTGTATCCCCTCAAAACTCCTGGTATTAGGGTCTTGGCCTCACACAGAGAAAACATTCCTAATCTTATAACAAGGGTGTAGGCATAAATTTATGCACAAATTTATCAGAATCACCAGGTATGTTGTTCAGGGATAGATCAGTGGTGAACAGAGAACTCCACAGGACACATTTGCACTCTGTTCACACTTCTCGGGTTCCTTGTACAGCTCAACAGGAGAGGGAAAAAGGAGAGGTGATGATTTTGAGGCACTTCTACAGTTATGGAAGAATTTCAAAACAAATTCCACTGTCTTGTTATTTCAGAATATACAGATTATATTTTCTTTAATACACATGTGAACCAGAATTTATTTTTACGATGTACTACCGGAGTTTATCTCCACCAGTTGAAGAAGTATGCTAACAGCCTGCAATGCATTAGAAGGGCAGGATATGAACCTACACAGGATATGAATTTATAAATGCCAAAGGAGTGTAGTAGTAGCAACATGTAAATCAAAGTTCAGAAAGCCAGGAAATCTTACTTTAAGATCAGCTGATACAGAGTAGCAACATACTTATTTTTAGGGAAAACAACAAGTAGTTTTGTGGCAGCAGACTGAGAGACTGGATGATCAGCAGGCAATGACCTGACAATGATTGATTCATGACAGAAGAAAGGGAGAGAAAATAAGCTGTATTTCAGACTCCAGCATGCAATGTACCAAAAACACTGAAAAGGTCTCTGAAAGCCAAGTAAGGAAGCTTGTCAGCTTTTCTGTTTTCTTGGGCACTTTATCTATCAAGACAAACTGAAAAAAGGAAGAGCTACAGTACCTTAATTGAATATGTTCCAGGTAGCCATCTGAGATATTTTTAAGCAACACTTAGAGAAATCATGGAGGAATGAAGAAATAGCATCTTAAAGACATTTATCCTGGATAAAGTTGCTAATCTCAAGCTTCAGATAAACTAATACTGTGCTTGCCCAGGCAAAACTTCAGTACAAATTCCTTAGAAAGCAGTAAAAAAGTGTGATTTTTCTCTGCAATCACATATCAACAAAGAAATAATGTATTTGTATATGTAGTTAATGCTTGATGATTTTATGGCGGCTGACTGTAGATGTCTGAAGATTATTGACCTTTGTCTGAAGAGCAAACCCTTGAATTTCGACAGATGAGTTACTAGTATTTTTTCCTGATTCTATACTTTTCTTTATATAAAGTGATTTTAGGCTTGTGAGCAACTACTCATAATAAGAAACAATCAGTTTGAAACACTGGAGAGTGTAAGTAGAAGGTGTTAATTATAGCTAAATGCCCAATTCCCCTCCCCCGCTCTGGGCTAAACACTACAGTTTTAGGCTGCTTTCATTTCAGTAACCATTTGATCTTTCCCAGGAGAGGGTTTTGTACTATTTCTTTTAATCTTCTCTGCATGTAGTTCAAAACTGGCTTGCTGAACTCAATTTAAATTAGTGTTTGCGTTTATGGGCAAAAGATCGCAGGGTCTACAACAAAACAAATAAAAATAATGTTTATAAATGTCAGTTAGAGAAAACTGTGAAGTAAAATTAGAAGCATCTATACAAATTTTAGAATGATGCTGCTCACTATGATCTGCAGCAAAAATATAATTTAGAAACCTCAGACCTTTGGAAAGTACAATAAGCTTTTACCATAATGCCTTTTCAACTAGTGAACAATTAAGAAAGTAATTTTAGAAATATGTTGAAAATTATACACATTGATGTTTCACTCTATGCATGTGAGGACCTTCAGTGACTATAAATAATTAACCAGACAGAACAAAGTTAAACAAACACATTAATCTTTTCAGGGTGGACATTCTATGCAGTAAATAATGCAACACGTCCACTATCATCAGATAACGCTGCACTGTGCTAAATTCCACTAAGTGAGATTTTGGAACTAGCATCAGTGCCAGATAGGTATATCTTGTAACATTTACCTTCTATGGATCAAAAGTCTCCAGAAATCAAAATGGCCCCATTAAATCAAACTAGATGGGATTTAAGTTAAAGTGGGCCATGCAGTTAGCTAAGAAATGGCAAAACACATTTACCCACCTCAAACTATTGCTCCATATCTCGTTCCTTTTGTAATAATGTTTATAAATTCCACAAAAATTATTTCCTACATCCATTGTTTTAATAAAGTTCCAAAGAGATGTTCATTTCTCAACTTCCTGCTAGCAATGCAATAGCAAAATACACTGCGACTGCTGGACACAGCCATGTCCACAACTGGGTTCAGATGAAGTGACAAACCAGCTGTAATCCAAATGCACACAGAAGTCACAGCAATATCCTAATCATGCTTACAACAGAAAAATACACTGGCAAAAGTACTGAATAAATACTTTGCAAATAAAGGAAAAATCAAGATACAAGGAAAATAACAATTAGAAAAAAGAAGAAACAAACCTAGCACAATATGTACTGTCAGGAGCCCACAGAATAAGGATTTCCATGCATTAATGTAACAAAAACAGTTGGTAACTTCATTCAGATTGCCTCTACCAGTCCTAATAAAACCTAGCAAGGCAAATTTATACTCAGGCCCCATTAAAACTGACTAATTTCAGAGCTGTTGAATTTAGGAGCATTGTATCCTATAACTGGAACCAGAAGTTAATATACTGAGTGTTGAGTTTCACTAAGATGGAATATTAATTCATGTTTATTATGAATGTTGATTGTTTTAATACCCTGAATTTAGATACAGAATATTAGACTTAATGGGTCGCTTCCATATGTCACAAGTAACCCAGTTGCTCTTATAACGTAAATTCTGCAGGCATTTGTTTTGTTCTTACCTAGAAATTCAACCAAATTATTTAAAATTAAACAATTTTTCCAGCACCTGTAAAAATGTGCAAATGATAGAACTGGCAGTATGATGACTGCTTTACAGATAAGCATTTTCTTCATCATCTTCAAGGACATTCAGATTTACGACCCAATCACTCAGCCCTTTAACAGGATGCATTTGAGTTTGATTAAAAAAGAAAACAAACAGCAGTGCAGATTTATTAATGAAATCTGGGTGACCTTTTCACATATGGAACTCTCTCAAAATAGCAAATTTAAACCTGAGTATAGTCTCCTTAGCTGCTTTAGCTTTGCCCATCCCAGCATGTTTTTGGTGAGCTTTTTCACATCAGCAAGTGCAAATTTTGGAAAACCATTTCCCCCTCCCCCTCCTTGAACTTTAATTGCTTAACCTACATCCTAATTCAAGTTGCTCATAAACCTTAGCCTTTGTTGTAGGTCCGACAGCTGCATTATGTCAGTAGCAAGTAAAACCTTCACAAAGTTCCGGAATGCTGCAAGACATTTTATGGGTGCTGCAATAAAAGGCAAATTGAATTTACAAAAATGCATTTGTCACTGATTAAAAACTTACAAAGTTAATTGGAAACACAGTGTAGGTGTTGCCACACAACTAGAGGTGCAATTGGTGGTTTTAATTCAGTTGAAGCACAGGGGAGAGTAGCTGTTCATGCAAGGCCAGCAGTCTTATTCATATTTCTTTTCCCTTGAAGAAACAGGGCTTTACTACTGGAAGACTTGCATGAATGGTCTACAGCATTAAGATGTTAGCTGAGGAGTAGGGACCACTTCCATGCTCAGTTTTCAAGGCTATGTCAAAGTAAAATTTGCAAGTACCAGTCAGTGCCTATTAGTAATTGCAGCGTCCTTTGGGAAAGTTTTCCAGGCCTTTTCTCACCTTCTTGTCTTAGGCTGGCAAAGCTGACACTACTGTAACAATCACTGCTTCAGCAAGTGAGGAGAGGAGAGGAGAGGGAGGTAACCAACAGCCCTGGCAATCAGCACCCTCCCCCTGGAGCTGAGTGAATTATCTCCATATAATCCACTTAACCTTTGCCATTGTGGGACCTGGGAAGCTGAAGGTATTTTTAAACTTGAGTCTTTTAATTGCCAGTTTATTGTGTCACTAGTCCAGCTCAGCTGGAAGGAGGATGATTGGAAAATAGTTCCATGAGGCAATAGCTTTTCACCTCGGCTAGGAGTCCTAATTATTATTAGTTTTGTGGCTCACTGTCCTTTAAGACTGTGGGGATAGTGATCTACAGTGAATCCACTGTTGATGGAGTTTCTTTAATGTATCACTACTGCTAAACACAGTTAAAATCTCACAGATTCTAAACCACTTACAATGTTGAACTTGGGTAACAAACATAATGTCATCAATAGTCAATATGCAGAAAAATCCAAACTAACACCAGATGTTGTGGAAACAGCTCTGCAACAATAAGGTTGAGTAACATGAGAAAGCTCCTTTGCAATTTCTACTCTTAGGAATCTCCACTTGATATTAAATTTATTATTTGATTATTTACTTGATATTAACTTTATTAAAATCCCATGTAATTCCCCTATCAGAAAAACAAAAAATGGCTTAAATGCCATAGAATGCTTCTGGGTAGTTTTCCAAGACAATCTATGGAAAATTTGATTAGGAAGTGATTAGTTCACTAGACTGCAATAGTCTGTGAGAGCCTTCCGAAATATTTTTGGGCATGGATGCTTAAAATTTAAATAGTGCTAATCTATTTTATTGATAAATATTCCACTGTGCTGGACTGTGTGTCCAAATTTCAATGACCACCAAGTCAGGCAATGAGCCATGCATGTGTTCTTCACAGAGACACCAAGAAATGGGAACTGCACCTTTTCCTTGATTTGGAATTTTCATAAAAGCCCCAAAGAGTTAGGCATTCAGCTTTGTAAATCTAAATCTCAGTGTCACTGGATGATATAGGTCCATCTTGTCCCTTCAAGATCTCTGAGTAAAAATAGGACACCGATACCTTTTATTAATACTTCAGCAAATCCTCAGTCTTATAATTTTTACTTCTTATTCTCTTCACAATTTTAAGTTTCCTACACACTGGTAGAGACGAAGGGAGCACATGGATGTCTTGCACTGCTGAGTGCACTCATACTTCACTGTGCAAGAATGTGGCAGACCTATAATGTTAGTTACTCTTCAGCAATCCAGATAATCAATGTCCATCATGGTGGTACTGTATATAGCAATCCAAAAAAACCCCAATGGTGCACACTCTCAGAGCTCTTCTGAAGAGGAATTACTAACTCAGCCATCTCCTTCATTAACTTTCTTTGGCACACACTCAACCAATAGAAAACCTCCCTATGTGATACCTTAGCATCAGTACAGAAAGAGAATTATTCTGGGAAATTTGTGCCAAAACAGACTTGCTGTTTCTCACAACACTCTCTGTGTCATCTCCTTTATCTTTTATTAATGATAAGGAAGCGAACAGCAGTAGTCAGGATTCAGAAGCAGCAGCAGGGATGATCCAAATATTCCATTCCTACTCCTGCTATTCTAAAATTCAACTTTATATCTGGGAAAGTCCACATTACATTATTTTTCACTTGTAATCTTTGGAAAGAAACACAGACTAGAATAGGAAAAACAAACAAACAAAAAGGATTTCTAACTCTAAATGTATACTTTTATCCAGGCTTACTGAGCAAGAAAGATAACCCACTTTCTTGGGTATTCCTTCACACGTTCATATCTCATGCTTGGCTTTTCAAAGAACTTAGAAAACTGAGAGAAAGAGAGGATGCCATGGCAGACTGTAGTCATGTCTTTTATTTAGTTATGTCCTCCATTGTGATAGTTCTGGCCTAGAATTTCATCAGATTTTTTGGAAATTCATTCTTCTTCACCCATATACCAGGATGACCAAACATATGTTGTTAGAAGGAATAAATGGGATTAAATAAAAGAGAAAGTGTTCAGGTTACTTTTCTAATTTCTCTGTTATTTGTGTAGTTAAGACTTTAATGGAATGATCAGCACTAATATGACATTTTGCAATCAAAGGATAGGCAGAAAGACGGGATTAATTTCCCTGATGCAAAACCAAAGGAGAAGCACATCAGCCATACCTTTCTTTCCACTGGACAGGTCCCAGATATAACATAAATTAAACAAAACTCGGTATTTATCTTGGTATTGGGAGCACTCAAAACCAATTTAAAGATCTGCTCCGGTTTGGATGCTAATTCAGTTTTTTTAGATGAGGATTTAGAAACAGAGAGAAATTTTGTGAACAAGTGGTAAAGTTTTTCTTGTTTCCAACTCAACCTAACTTTTTTTAACTTCCCACCTCCTTTCCTGTTTTGATTAAAAAAACCCCTTGGAGGTAGTTTCCAGGTTATACCAGAAAGATTTAAGATTTCTCCTCTGAAAAGATCACTTTGTGTGGGGCTATGGCACAGTAAAACTGTGGCCATTACAGATAGATGTGAGTCTTAAGTACCTTCCCCTTGTTAAAGCCATGGAAGAGCGTGGAAAGAAATGGAAGCTCCAGCCATGTCTGCTGGGACACCTCAATGCCTTTTGAACTACCCTGGCATTAATGAAGGGGATTGTACTCCTACACAAATGAATATTGGTAACTGATACTGAGGGGTTTCACCTCTGTTTTAAAAACAAAAAATGGACAGATTTCCCCCCAGGTGTTACAGTCTCCATTCTGACCCTCTGTATTATCCCTAAAGCCTCCAATGGTCTCATGAATGGGAGATGATTTTCTGAATGGAAGTGGGAGGTGGTGCAATCAGCATGGTGAGGGTTTTGTCATGGCTTTCAGCTTCTCATCTTTCCTGAACAGCCATGAGCATGTAAAATATCTTAACTTCATGCTTCCTCTTGTAAAAATGGTCACAGAGACAAAGAAAGAGAATATGCTTTAAGAGCTTTACTGGTAGCTGCTGAACATGGAAGATGATGTTATCTGTAGTGGTATTTTATACAGCTGCAGAAAAGTTCCTTTTACATATATGTTCTCCTTTACCATCTTTACTACACTTGAAGCTGATGAGATGGATCTTTCAGAGTCACAATAAGATTTTATGATTTCAGTCATATTTTTCCCTGCAGAGGAAAAACACCTCTCACAGTTAGCTGAAGGATTGTAACTCCAGATTAAAGTGAAAGAGCAGAAATGAAGCCTCTATGAAGGAGCATGGTGTTTCCCTCCATCCTGTAATCGGTTGCAGCTGACTGAACAGCAGACAGACAGCTCCTAAAATTGTACATGTGCATTATACCATGAACTAAATTGGAAGTTACATCCCCATATACCCACCACTTTCATCTCCACCACGTAGGTGCATACATTGCTGCCTCTCCGAGCAAAAATTTTTGACTTTGATATGATTGAAAATGCCAGGATTGTGTAGCACACTGTTGAACAATTTAGCCAATTTCGTTCATTCATTCATTCTCCTGCATATGAGACATGGTTTACTGCTATTAATTTAAGAATGTTATCCAAAGGTGGTAAAATCCTCATCATTGCTGTCTGATCTCAAATTAGGGGAAAACCAAATCACCCATTTCTTACATGAACCTTATAGTAAAGTCAGGTCAGGGTGCTAAAAGAGACATTCATTCTGCAAGATCCCATGGACATGGGCTCAAACAGTTTTGATTAATGAACCTAAGTCATGAACTGCCATCTCCTTTCTATTGCCACCACCACTATCATTAGCACAATTCACATGCTTATTTCATGTTTGCAAATATATGTATGCTGTGATTGCTGATCTAGTCAGTATAAAGTGTGAGGGAAATTGCCCAAACAGAAAAAACTCCCAATGTAATTAAGAAATGAAATATTTTTTCCATCTCATGATATCACATTTCCTTCTCAGTTGGAAGATATTGTTTTAGTAGAGAAGAGAATAATTGTGACTGCATTTCAACAACTAAGGGCAGATATCGTACATTCACATACTGATTTATTTCAATTTGCAGGAAGGGTTGGGTGGGGTTCTTTTCACATAATATGTACTTGGGTATAAGGAGTAATGGAAAAAAGAAACAAAGGAAATAATGAAGAGCTATGGGTAATGCACTAGCCGTTAGAAGGATGGAAAACAATGATGCTTGGAAAGTAGGGACTAGGAAGATATGGAAGTCATGGCTGAAAAGCAGCTGGGAAAGATGTCACAGAATGGCAAAGAAAGATCTAATGTGATTCTTCAAGATGTAGATGGAAATACTGGGAAAAATGGTAATAATGATCATATACATGAAATCAAATCTATTTCTGAGGCAGGGTGTTTGGCATGAGATACACCCACCCTGTGAAAGTATGTTGATGTATCAGAAAACCTCTGAGAAAGAAAAACCCTGAGAAGTGGGAACCCAGCTTTCCACAGAGATTTGGAATAAACTCAATCTATTTAGTTCATCCACAGTTAATTAAGAGATAATTTGATCGTGGTCCATAATTATCTACAGATGAAAGCATCTGATACCTATAAACAGATACAAGTACAGGAAGATCTAATGACTGGAGAAAAGAGCAAAGCATAGAGTGAGAATGAAGTGCAAAGGGTACTTAAACATAGGAACTATTTCCACATGGCAGATTATTCTTCATCTGAAGATTTTACATCAAGCTTAATGTCAGTCTGAAGAAGCAGGCTACCTCACCAAGAACTTAGAGGCTTGATGCATGGACCGTGAACTTCTGCTGCCTCTTTTATCCAGGAGGCCAGGTAATATCAGATCAGTGCAGGGTTGATGTAGGATTAATAGCAGCTTGTGATCCTTGCTGATAGAAGTGAGGTCCTAGAGAATGAGTGTATCTGTCTATCCATATAAAGATTAAAAAAGAAATGTTGAGGATGTTTATTGGTTTGTATGAATGAGCTGTTGTTCAGTTATATACCACAAAACTTCATTTTGAATCAGAAGGTAAGGCATATGATAACCTGGTTGCAATTTTGGCAGGAGCCAGTTGTCCATGAAGTACAGCATATTAACTAAGCCACTAAAAAAAGGAATTATCTAAATACTTACATACTTTGGAATTCCTGCCTTCTAGCTAGCTCTCTTGTTTAGCCAGAATTCTTTGGAGTCTTCATCTGGGAAAGCTGCTTCAGGATGCTGAGATTCTAATAAAGGGAAACAAAAGGATGAGCATTCATTCTAGAAGGAAAGCACACATTATTAATGTATTTTTATGTTGATTAGAGACAAGTTCTGGAGTAACTTTCTACTATACTCAGACCAGAATAATAAGCTATATCCAAAACATGAACGTCACAGGTCTAATCAGTTCAGTATTTTCTTTGAAAGTTCTTTCCAAATTATTCTTGAAAGAATTTGCTTTATGAAAAATAAGGAATACTAAATTAATGGTTTTATAAAGCAACACAATCCAAAGATCTCATCTTTGAGTGGCAGTAGTTTGCTTAGAGCTGATTTCTTCATTCTTCTTTTTGACCTTATTTACATGAATCTCAGCTACCATTTTATTGCCCAGACACATATTATGACAGCCATAGGCAATTTGTATTTATGGTTTTACCTTTGACTGTTCTCAATAATAGCATATCTTCAAAATTTGTTCTTTAATAATATGTATCCTTTTCCCAGCTTAGTTCTTAATTGAAAAAAGAGAGAAATAAAGATAAATATTTTTATATATAGGCAAATATAGAAATATGTACATCAAAACACCATTTCATCTGCTACTTTTCTTCTTTTAATTTCCCTCAGAATTTTTTCTGGTTTGTATTATAAGGAAGTTCCAATCGGTGTGGAAAATTAGTGACAACTTATGAATATTTCTTTAGTCACAAGTTCTGAGTACTGGTAACAATATTTCTAAGGTATATGCTATCTGACTTACAAATCTTACATTTTATTGGCTGTCTCATTTTGTTCTCTTTCATATTTCACATTTATGATATGTTCAGACATACCCCTGTTTTGTTAAGTAGGAATCTGTGTGGTCTTTGATATAAGGCGTAATTTATTTGACAAGGAAATATGAGATGGTGCCCTGAATCTGCATTTAATTGATGGATTGAGAATTTTTAGCATTGCAACAAGACAGATTCTTATCCAAGGTGTCATGGAAGGAGCGTTCTCTTAATCTGTTCTCCTGTGAATTAAAATACATGTATATATATTTTGAGGAGTGATTTTTAAAGTTCTTTATTGAAGGTAGTTAGCAGGGTTTTCATACATATCTGATATCCAAATACTAAAAGTGATTTATGCTATTATCTGTTCATAAGGGTATTTTTATATCCATGAGAAGTGAGTGCTCCATTCTGACAAGTCTTCAGAAAATATCACTAACATTGCCAATAAAGACTAGCCCTTGGTAGCGCATTAAAGCTGGATATAAATATAACCCTTTATCATCAATGCAAACTCGATGTGAGTTTGTGCTTGTGATTAAACTTTCTGCCATCTAATCATCAATCAGCCCCATTAAAAAATTAATAATCAGTAATTGCATTATTCTTCCCCATAGTTTCACATAGGCTGTACTGCACAACAAGAGCTCTCTGAGACTTCAGCAAAGTGTGGTGTTCTTGAATGTGCTGCCTTATACAGTTTTCTGCTGTTTGCTATTTCTTTTTATCATCTTTGTAACTCTTCCAGCAATCACTTAAACTTATGGAATGCCCTCAATCTGAGACAACTGTCTTTTAACATTTATTTATTTATTACACCAATGCAATCTCTGGTTACTGATAGTTCTTGTGAAATTTTAATATGAAATACAAGGATAGGTTTTCGGTCACTTTCTTTCCTGACACATTTCTGGTTCTTAAGTATTACAGAGCTATTTTAGAGCCGTGGGGATGCTGGCACCTAACGAGGCCTCTGAACAGCAGGTTTACAGTAGATGTTTGTCTAGTTTTTGTCTTTGCAAAAGGAAATTTTATGCAAACTGTACTGCCTTCCTTCCACTTCACCCAGCTAGAATTAACCAGGAAAGCACTACTGGCCTATGCAAAGTGTTCTTTCTTGACTGGCTCAGCCTTTTGGTGGTTTGAAGGGTTTTTGTATTTGGTATTTTCATGACACCTTAGAGAGCCTCTAGGGATGGATCTGGTGATCTAGAAATCCTTATTGTCTGAATAAGGATTGCAAAAATCAGACTGTATATTTCAAAATTAAAATGAAAATAAAGGAGAAGTATTATACTGCAATGGCCTCCTTCAACTGCAGCAACTTCTCTCTGGTTTTTACCTTGCCTGCAGATTTGTGCAATAAAATAATTGACATTTTTCATCATTATGTCTTTATATCTTTCATGAGAGAACAACCCAGCTAGTTATCTTTATTCGCTGAAAAAAAGAAAAAAAGAAAAAAAAAAAAAAAAAGAAAATATCCCTTACTTCATAAAACAATGTGTTTTAAAAGCTTTCATTTTAGAGCTAGTGTTAGGCCATGATGAATTGCTGAATGGTTGATTTCCTGACACTGTTTCTTACTAACCTTTCCTGACAGCTTCTGTATTACTCTACCTGGTAATTTGCACTACAATAATGGCTACAGTGAGATATCTCCTAACTATTTCCTTTATTTTTAACAAGATTCTTAACACCCTCTGTAGGTGACAAAATGCACTTACAGACATGAAGTGTCCCCCTGAGGATGGTTGTTCACAGATGTCACCAGTACTTTAGTAGTGCAATTGTTAAATGAAACAAAAACAAAGAATCAGATTCTCTAAACATTCAGTTCAAATAAAAATTTAATTAAAAGTTATGAAGGCATTTTATTGATTAACAATCTTAGTAATTAAATAGTGTCGTTGACTTTTTTTTAGTTGGATTTGTTCTTCCTTGGAGATCTCTAATTGTGGTATGGCTTTACATTTATTGATAACTCTTTTTGATGAATACAGATGCCACCTTTTATGGCAGTCGTTGACAGAGTAATCATATTGTGAGAAACACCAGGCTTATGTAGTAACAGGTGTTGCAGTTATACATGCTGATATCCACTGGGAAAATGTGTTTGCTGCTATCATGGGTACACAATAAATGGGAGGTGCAATAAAGCACAAGCTAACATTTTGAAAATCCTTACAACTCTAGGAACTTTATTGCAGATTACAAGCACTTTGATCTCTGTCCAGTACTTAAGTCTTAATTATCAGACTAATTGCACAGACTATGTTCATTTTCAGTGGTAATTCTTTTGTGAAATGCTATGTAAAATGACGTGCTATGGAGGAAAAGGTTCTGTAGTTTTGCCCAGGGCCACTGCAATCCAACTGTTTGAAAGACTACAAAGCAAATGCAGAGTTGTCAATGCCCAAGTGTGTAGACTCTGCCAAAAAGCCAGATGCTGCTATGGGAAGCATTTTGTATCTTCTCTAGCTTTGCATCTGGGTCCTGCTATGAGCAGCCATGTCTCATGTCTGCCTGTAACTTAAGATTCTGCTACTGCATTAATAATGGCCTTTTTGTTGGTAACATATAGAGATAAAGAATCCCTTCTAACACTTCCTCCCCACCATTAGTCATTCAGATTTCTTCAAAAGCAAGCCACGTGCGAAGTTCTAAAATATGCTCTCTTTGACAGCCACTCTGGTAAGTGTGGTATCTGTGCTCACTCCATATATATTTTTCTGTTTCTCCTGATTATGGTGAAAGAACCTAAAACTAAACTTCTTGGAGACACTCTTTTTAACTGAATTTTTTAATTCTCTATACAGTTAATTTGGGGTTAAGACTTAACTATTAGTTACCTGCCGTTAATGAGGGCTAGTAACTAATAACCAGGTACTCAAAAGACATACAAATTAAAGAGAAAAGTTTATTATCTCCCACTCATATCTAAGGCAGCAACAATATTCCCATAACTTCACTGGAATTAATATCTCACTTTCAAAGAAAAAAAAGTCCTCCTAGGAGTTAGTATAAAATAGCATTGCCTCTGTCTAAGAGTTTCCTCCAATGTGTTGCTTTTCTTGTATTACTCAAATGATGTATATAGTGAGGATGACTGAACTATACTCTTTCCTGAATGGAATGGAGATAAAAGCAGCATTGTATTTGAAATCAATAGAAGGAACTTGTGGTTTGTGATGGGAGTGTCTGGCTCCAGAATTATCTGATGCTAAGTGCTGACAATGCAATAGGATCTTTACAAGACATAAATACAGCAAGGGATCTCCAAAAGCCTAATGCTATACTGGAAGGAGAATCTGTTGAGGCTGCCTGTATGGGTTGTGCTGGGAAGAGACTCACATCCACACTTTTCTGAGACAAATGAAGAGCCCAAACGGAAGCATCTCCTGTCAGATAGAGAATGAAAGGCTGAAGTGCTCTGCATTAAATTTTCCACATGTGCTATTCCAAGCACTTCAACCAACAGCAAATTTGACTGAGTTCAGAAAGTTGGGAGTGGTCCAGTGATTTGAACACATTTTCTGAAACATATTGACTTTCAGATGTTGGTGAATTTGGGGATTACCTTGCTTGTAACTGCAGTACTCTGATGATTTTTGGTAATTTCCTGTTTGGTCTTACTAGTCTTGTTTGCACTAACATGCTGATATTAATTGTTGTTTACAGAGTCATAGTTACCTAATTTTTAGCTACCTGCTAAAAAAATTGAAAACTTAAGGGGAATAGCGATGCCTGGGTTAGTCACTTAATAATCTGAACAACAGGAACTGTATATAGAGGAGACCTTTCCCTTTTCACTGACTGCAGAGAAAGATGAGCCTGTCTGCATTAAAGGCTGGTATCTCTCCACAAACATCTTCCTCTGTCCCTCTCTGTATATGCCAATTAATTCGAGTAGCTGCATAGAGCCACTTCCCAGGGAGGTGCCAACCCGGGCAGGGAGCCTATAGGTTTCTTTTGCTACCCACAGGGAGATCTAGAAGCAGTAGGAAAGCCATGACGTGGCACCAGTGGTATGAAGGCCATCACCTGGTGTGGAGTTTGAGTCATATTGGACATTAGTGAGCTCCAGTTACTCAATTAGGATAAAAGAATCATGGATAGAAACGAGCACATCCGCTTCACTGAGGGACAGTCACGGATACAATTACGGATATGAAATGCTGCCAAAGCTACCTGCTACTAGAATTACCAAACCACA